GGGCCCCCCAGCAGGCCTCGAAAGTGGCGACAGTTTCACAGATCGCAGCCCTCCCAGGGATGGCGAGGTCTAATTTGAATCTGCGTGTGGCGTCACTGTGCTGGGCCCCCCAGCAGACCTCGAAAGTGGCGACAGTTTCACAGGTCGCAGCCCCCCCAGGTATGGCGAGGTCTAATTCGGGTCCGCGCGTGGCGTCTCTGTGCTGGGCCCCCCAGCAGGCCTCGAAAGTGGCGATAGTTTCACAGATCGCAGCCCCCCAGGGGTGGCGAGGTCTAATTTGGGTCCGCGCGTCGCGTCACTGTGCTGGGCCCCCCAGCAGGCCTCGAAAGTGGCGACAGTTTCACAGATCGCAGACCCCCAGGGATGGCGAGGCCTAATTTGGGTCCGCGCGTGGCGTCACTGTGCTGGGCCCCCCAGCAGGCCTCGAAAGTGGCGACAGTTTCACAGGTCGCAGCCCCCCCAGGGATGGCGAGGTCTAATTTGATTCCGCGCGTGGCGTCACTGTGCTGGGCCCCCCAGCAGGCCTCGAAAGTGGCGGCAGTTTCACAGATCGCAGCCCCCCAGGGATGGCGAGGTCTAATTTGGGTCCGCGCGTGGCGTCACTGTGCTGGGCCCCCCAGCAGGCCTCGAAAGTAGCGACACTTTCACACATCGCAGCCCCTTGGAGGCAAGACAGGAGGAGGCAGGCAGGAGGCAGGAGGGAGACGGGAGGAGACGCGCGAGCAGTGCTCTATTCAAAACGAATACCCAACCAAGGAGGGTTGGGATTAAAGCAGGAAGCAGGACGCAGGAGGGGAGGCGGGAGGAAGGAAGGTAGAGACCACAGTCCCATAGTCAAAACGAATACCCAACCAAGGAGGGTTGGGAAATTGTAAAAGCATACTCAAGCATGGTCAACACAAACAGTTCAAAAAAAAACATCCCCAGGCTATTTCCCCACATCCTGAGTGGGGTTCTTGTTTTCCCAGAACATCCTCTCCATCTCCCTCCCGCCTCCTGCTTCCCTTCCCACCCCTCCAGGAGGCCCCGCCTGAGCGAGGAGGGTATCGGAAACCCATACTATTTACATGGTTGCGTGCCCCTCCCATCCCTCCAGGGAGGCCCCGCCTGAGCGAGGAGGGTATCGGAAACCCATACTATTTACAAAATTTCCTGCTCCTCCCACCCCTCCAAAGAGGCCCCGTCTGAGCGAAGAGGGTATCGGAAACCCGTACTATTTACATGCTTTCGTGCCCCTCCCTCCCCTCCAGGGAGGCCCCGCCTGAGCGAGGAGGGCATCGGAAACCAATACTGTTTACACAGATTCCTGCCCCTTCCACCCCTGCAAGGAGGCCCCGCCTGGGCGAGGAAGGTATCGGGAACCCATACTATTTACATGGTTTCGTGCCCCTCCCACCTCTCCAGGGAGGCCCCGCCTGAGCGAGGAGGATATCGGAAACCGATACTATTTACATGGTTTCGTGCCCCTCCCACCCCTCCAGGGATGCCCCGCCTGAGCGAGGACAGTATCGAACACCAATACTATTTACATGGTTTCGTGCCCCTCCCACCCCTCCAGGGAAGCCCCGTCTGAGCGAGGAGGGTATCGGAAACCCATACTATTTACATGGTTTCGTGCCCCTCCCTCATCTCCAGGGAAGCCCCGCCTGAGCGAGGAGGGTATCGGAAACCCATACTATTTACATGGTTTCGTGCCCCTCCCACCCCTCCAGGGAGGCCCCGCCTGAGCGAGGAGGGTATCGGACACCCATATTATTTACATGATGTCGTGCCCCTCCCATCCCTCCAAGGAGGCCCCGCCTGAGCGAGGAGGATATCGGAAACCCATACTATTTACATGGTTTCGTGCCCTTCCCACCTCTCCAGGGAGGCCCCACCTCTCCAGCTTCTCCTTCGTGTTGATGTTGTCGTACCACATGGGTCCCACGAAACCGTTAATCTCTTTATGTGGGGAACTCCGTTAGCATAATTGTTGTTTTGTTTGAATATTCCTCCTGTAGAGAGACTCGCCCGACTTGATCCCACGGGGACAGAGATTGTGAATCTGCATGGGCTCCAGGGGGCCCCCAAAGATAACCAGATTCACCGCCTCCCGAGATTAGAGTTCGGTGGCAACTCAGTGGAGCCTCCCATACCATATTGTCGGCTCTTGCGCAACGATGCGAATCGGCACTAAATAGACGCACGCTAAATCAACGCTCATCGACGCCAAATCGATGCTCATCGACGCTGAATCGGCGCTGAATCGACGTTGATCGACAATAAACCGACGCTGCATCGGCGCTATCTCATCGCCTCCCAAAAGCTAGTCGACGCGAATCAACGCTGAAGACAAAATCTGGAGGGTACAGAAGGCACCCATGATTTGCCACCGAAATTCAGGAAGAACAGAGAGGCATAGACATAGCACTTTTGGAGGTCCGCGCGGATGTCTTGGATCTGCGCCGAGCACCCCTCCGAGGCGCGTGGAGCGCGCCAGTGGCGGCGCTGGAGGCGCCGCAAGGGCGGCCCAGCGCTGATGCAAGACATCCGCGCGCACCGAGTCTCTGCTTATGCCGCTTTCGTTTCTTCGAAAGAACCAAAAGAAGATTGGTTCCCCAGGCAGTGTATGCCGAAGGGGCCCAGGGACACACCAATAAATAGGCACAAATCCCAGGATGCCCACATTTTCGCGTATTTTCTATATGTTTGTCGTCCCCCCCACTTCCCACAACTTCCCTTATTTCCTTTGGGATCGACGATTGGTTGTGTCTCTGTGTGTGTGGCGATCTGCGCTGTTCACGTCGCGGGCCTCCCGAGTGGACACCTCGCCTCGGATCAAAAGACTGCTGCTCCCGGGGCCCGAAGAACAACGCACCCCAGCTCCGGAAATCATGAGACACGCCGGAAGGAGGGGGAGAAGGAGGAGGACAGGGGAGCAGGAGGAGGAGGGGGAGGAGGAGGGGGAGGAGGAGGAGGGGGAGCAGGAGGGGGAGGAGGAGGAGGAGGAGGAGAGAGGAGGAGGAGGAGGAGGAAGAGGAGGAGGAGGAGGAGGGAGGAGGAGGAGGAGGAGGAGGAGGAGGAGGAGGAGGACGACGAGGCGGAGGGAGGAAAAGAAGGCAGATGAGGAGGAGGGAGGAGTAGGAGGAGAAGGGAGGAGAAAGCGAGGGAGGGAGGAGGCGAAGGGAGGAGGAGGGAGGAGGAGGAGGGAGGAGGAGGAGGAGGCGGCGGGGGGAGGAGGAGGAGGAGGAGGAGGAGGAGGAGGAGGAGGAGGAGGAGGAGGAGGAGGAGGAGGAGGAGGAGGAGGAGGAGCACGAGGAGGAGGAGGAGGAACGTGATGAGGAGGAGGAGGAAGATGAAGAGGAGGAGGACGACCAGTGCAAAAACCCAAGAGTCATCAACGATGTTGGAATGAATCCTCCCTCCAAGCTCCCTCTTCGTAGGCCCCTACAGCGGTTCATTTCCATTGAAAGAACTGCCTCGTTGGGAGACAACCGTTTGAAGATCCTGAAACGTGCCAAAATATTGCTCTCGGGATTTCAGCGCCACGTATCAACCTGACTGCTGCGCCCTGAAGATCCGGAATCGTGCCAGGAAGCCAGCTTTGGGACTTCAACACCGCGAATCAAGATAATTTTTGGGCCCGCATGGACCTGAATCTTTGCAACACACAATTTCTGGTACGTTGCTCATGAAATCTGTGAAATTCTGGCAACACTTTACAACGAATGTGTGCGGAGCTGCAGCGAGATCCACACTTTGACAAAAGAACCGCCCTCAATCCGTGAAGCTCTTGCAGATGTTTGAAAACGAATGTGTGCGGCGCTAAAGCGAAAACGACCCGCCCTCGATCCGTGAAACTCTTCCAAATTTTAAGAATGGATGTGCGCGGTGCTAAGGCGAGAGCCAAATGTTGAGAAGGTACCGCCCTCAATCCGTGAAACTCTTGCAAAGTTTGAGAACGAATGTACGCGGCGCCAAGTCGAGAACCACATTTTGAGAACGACCCGCCCTCACTCCGTGAAATTCTTGCAAAATTTGAACCCGAATGTGCGCGGCGCAAAAACGAGAGCCACATGTTGAAAGCGACCCGCCCTCCAACTGTGAAACAATTGCCACTTCTTAAACTTCATATTCATATATGGTAAAGAAGTCTCAGGCGAAGCGCCCGGCCCGCCCTAAAAACTGGCCCCGCGGTGCGACGAAAATTATGAGAAGAAGGAATGGAGGAGCAGGAGGCGGAGGAAGAGGGGGGGGGGTGCAACGGAGATCCGCGGTCCAAGAACAGGTCACGTCCCGAGCGGTTCCGCACGCGGCCCCCGCACGTCCCGCCCCCCTATCCTGCGCACGGGCCCCAAAGAGGGCCCCCCGAGGCCGACAACTCCAAGCAGCACTCCGTGCCGCATCCCTCGGCGCCCCCGGGGGGCCTGGGACCGCCTCTCGCTACGCCCTCGCGCGCCGCGGCCCCCGGGCCATGGGCACCCTCTGCGGCCGAGGCTGTGAAGCGCCAGGCACGATTCTGTGGGCGCCCCCCTGGCGGGGGACGCCTCGTGGTCGGGAAGGCATTGCGGGCAATATTTCTATCCATATCCAGCGCGTCTTGGACTTTCTTGGAAGGGGCGCCGCAAGGCCGAGGCGCACTGGATATGGATAAAAGTTGAGCCTTTTGGAGGCAGATTACAACCCACATCCAGTGCGCCTCATGCTTCTTGGGAAGAGAGTCCGAGACTCCAAGACGCACTGGATGTGGAGAAAGACATTGCCCGCAGGCATGCCCGATGGCCGCAGAGCGTGTCCACCTGGAGGGCAAAGGGTAGGGCGACGAGATCTATGTATATCCACTGCTCCTGGCCAGGCCAATCCTGGGCCCAGGAGCGGTGTATACGCCCTCCTGGCCTGGCCAGGGAGGCATATACACAGCTCCTGGGCCCAGGATGGGCCTGGCCAGGAGCAGTGGATATGCATAGATCTCGTCGCCCTAAAGGGGCTCCCGCGCGCACGGGGCGTGCACGGCGGGCGGCCTCTCGCTCGTCCTTCTCCGTCTCGGTGACGGTGCGCTCGAAGTCGGACTTGATGACCTCTGGCCCGCGGTGCGGCGGGAGCGGCGTCGAAGGGCAGAGGCAGGAAAGAGGGGCCGGAGGCAGAGGAAGAGCAGCGAGAGGGGCGGGGCCAAAGAAGCAAATGAGCTCGGGGGCCGAGGAGTCATTCACAGTCGCTGGGTGCTTGGCTGAAGTGAGGTTCCGCGGTCTGGATTGTTGTTGCCGTGGAACTCGCTTTCTCGAGAAATCCATGTTTGTTCCCCTTCGCTGGTGCACAGCTTGCTTTTTCGATTGAAGTGCCCCCGTCGGAACTCGCACCCAGTTTATCACGGAAAGGCTTCCTGCTCAAAGTGTACGGTTGGGCACCGAACTACAACAACAACGACTCCCGCCTGGTACTTTCTTACAATGTATTCCAGACTCGAGCTCTCGCGCAGGACTTCTCATAATGTATGCTGAAATCGCGCTCTCGCGTGGGCCCTCTTCTAAATTCATTCCAACGCCGCACCCTCGACACTCAGGAATCACGCCCTCGCTTTTAACCTTTCTCACGATTCACTTGGGAATCATGCTGTCGTTCAAGACTTCCTCGCGAGTCATGCAATTCTCACGCTTCAACGACCTAGCCGCCTGGGCCCACTTTCCCGGCCCATCCGCTAAGGTCTGCCCGCCCCATGTGCCCAAATGCTTCTGCCACAAGTTTTATGATCCTTGCCCCCCTCCTGCAAATTTCTCTCGTGCTCCATGCTTTCCCCCCCCCCGTCCACCCGTCCTCACTTGCACTGATTTAGGGGCTGCGCTACATGCACCCGGCGAGGGTTCGGGATCTACTTGTTGAGTGGCACGCAAGCAGGTAGGAGCGATCAACGTTGAAATGACCGCTGGTGCTGTTGGTGTGTTGTCTCTTGTTTGTCGTCTGTCGCCGCACCACCCGCGACCAGGTACGCGACACACCCGCGACCTACCCGCGACCCAACCCGCGACCCACCCCGCGACCCACCCGCGACCCACCTGCGGCCCAAACGCGACAAACCCACACAGCTTCAACGAACAAATCGGAACCTGCGGGTCGCTCGCTGTGGAAAGTGTAACAATTAGGCGCCTGCGGCTAACCTACTCTTATCCGTAACTGCGGGATGCTACGCACATAGCCCCCGCAGTTGTGGATAAGAGTGAGGTGGCGGCGGGGACGTCGGCAGTCTGCGAGGCTCTGAAGAGGCCCCTCGCAGACGCCCAATGTGCACAGCTTATGCAATAAGCCCGCCCTGGTCGCCGATTTCTCGTTAAAGCAATGTGGTTGGGTCGCGAGTGTGTCGCGGGTGTCGCAAGTGGGGCGCGGATGGGTCGCGGGTAGTGGGCCGAATCTCGGGTGGGACGACGAAAGCAAACAACAAACAACGCAACATCAAACAACGCAAGAACAACACCATCAACACCAACAACACCAACAACCATTACAACAACAAACACAACAACCACAACAACAACCACAACAACAACGACAAGAACAACAACAATCATTTGAAGACTGTTCGCTCTAATCTGCTCACGTGCCATTCAACACGTATATCCCCAGCCCTCGATACCCGCCTGCTTCGTCTTCGATCGTACCTCCTGAGGGGCATATCCTTCATACCTGCACCGTGTATGTCGTGAAGCCCCTAAGGCAGGGGAAAAGAGGAGGGATGGAAGGAAGGGACAAGGTGCAGGATGGCTGCTGAAACGTGAGCCCTGCATGAATCGAGAAAAGTTTCAAGCGATAGCACGATTCCCAAGTGAATCGTGCGGAAATCCATAGCGAGAGCGTGGTTCCTGCGTGTCGAGGGCGCGGCGTTTGAACAAATTGCGAAGAGGTCGCACGCGAGAGCGCCATTCCTGAATACATTGTGAGGAAGTCTCGCGCGAGAGCGCAATCCCACCAGCCCTCTGGGCGCAGGTGGTTCAGGGAGCCTCTTACACCCCCTTCTTCCCCTTCGGGGAGGGGTTTACCCCTCCCCCCTACCCCCTCCCCTGGACCTGGACGGGGCCGGTCGCGAGCGGTCAGGGCGTCCAAAACGGCCTCGGAAAGGAAGCCCAAATCATTCATTTTAATTCAAGTTTGGCTCCATGTTGGCATTTTGGGGGGGGGCGACGCTAAAAAAAACTCCCCTCTTCTTTGATCAATGTCCTCCAAGATGGCACCAAGAAGCGCCGAGGAGGCCCCAAGAGGACCCAAGATGGCCCCAAGATGGCCCCAAGAGGTCCACAAGAGGCGCCAAGAGGCCCCCCCGAGGCACCCAAGACGCCCAAGAGCCTCCCAGGACGCCAAGAGACTCACAAGACGTCCCAAGAGGCCTCCAAGAAGCGCCCAAGAGATATCCCAAGAGGCTCCGAGAGGCATCCAAGAGACCTCTGGCCCTTTTGCTTGCCCTCCGTCTCTTCCTTCTCCTCCTCCTCCTCTTCCTCCTCCTCCTCTTCATCCTATGCATCTTCCTTCTCCCCACTCCTTCATTCATCCATCCAGCCTCCTCCTTCTCCTCCTCCCTCCTTCGCACGGTTCGGCCGTCCCCCGCTTTGCTCCGGCACTGCCCTGGTCACCTCAACTCGCCTGGACATCGTTTCTGGATGGGCTGGTGGGGATACACGAACTGGCCATCGCTCGGACGTTGTTCCTTGTGTTTTTTTCGGTTTCGTGCGTGTTTTTTTCGCCAAATGATGAAGGATGCTCCTCGATGGTCCTCGCCGGAGGAGAAATGCAAAGCACTTTGGTTGAAGATTTCCATAGTCACTGGGCAGCGGGGATCAACAATCATTGTTCTTCAGAAATGAAAGCCCAACAGCAACAACAATAATTCTAAGACTGTTCGCTCTCACCTGCTCCCGTGCCATTCAACACGCGTATCACAAACCCTCGGAACCCACCCCAGAGCAGGATCAAGGACTCCCAACTTCGCGCTTCGCGCTGCGCGAAGCGCGAAGTGCGAATAACTTCGCGCTCTCGCGCCGCCTTCCAGCGGAGAAGAGGAGGATGAGAAGGAATCGGAGCCGAACCGAGAAGCGCGAATAACTGCGCGCCCTCGAGGGCGCCCTTGAGGACGGAGCACGGGATTCGCAGGAGTGGGGCTTGGAGCAGAGAACACGCGGCAGAACCAGAAGGGGCCCATCGTTCGGGCAGACCCCGACGGACGGGTCGGGCCGGCGGGCCCCGGCGGCCAGGTCGAGATGGCGCGTGTGTGCGGAAGCGTGAGCATTTTGTGCATGCACCGCGGGGAGCGCTCGAGCGGCAGCGCGACTCCCATCGTGAGAAAGGCCAACGCGAGACCTTGTGTCCTGAGTGCCGAGGGCGCGGCGTCTGCACAATTACGGGGAGGCCCAACGCGAGGGCGCGATTCCTTTAACGTGCGAGGCGGCCCCGCGCGAGAGCACGATTTTGAAACACAACTGCGAGGAAGTATCAGGCGGGAGCCGTTGGCTTTGTAGTTCGGGACCCAACAACCCAATTTGGTGACGACAAGCTTTCCCTGATAAAAGCACAGGGTGCGAGCCCCGAGGGAGGGCACTTCAATTGAAAAATACAATGATTACTTGAGAGGGGGGTCAACAATAAATATTCTTTAGAAATGGGAATTCAACAATCCAACGCGGAACCTCACTTCAGCCACGCGCCCAGGGACAGTGAAAGACCGTTCGGCCCCCCACCCCGATCACCAGTCGCCCGGGTTCGCGCTTCGCGCGCGCGAGCCTTTCCCATACGCGTCTCGCATCTCACGCACCGCCTGCATCGGGGAAGGATCGATTCGGATCGGATACTTTCTCGCGTGACCTCAAGTCCACCGCAGACGCTGCGGAGGATGCGATACGAGGGTGACTGCTGATGGGCAATCACACGCTGCGCGGGAGGAAAAAATACGCCCTGGGCGGAGGGCGGGCACCGAGAGCCCCACGGGCCAGAACCTCAACACCGGGCCGCTGAGACCAGGGCCTGGCGCTGTGATACCCGAGCGGCGCCAGCCCCTGGGCTAACCAGCCTCGAAGTTACTCCAACCCCCAAGATTGACAAGCTAAGAGGCAATATGACACTCTCAGGGATGCGCATACAACACCTGAGGATACCCTTAAGATCGGTATCACCACCAGACGATGCCAATCATAGCAATCGGTATTATTGTTCACTGCGGAAGGGTCTGAGAAAAATCACGCCAATCATGGGATGCATTTTCCCCCGCGTCCATCATTCTCTCCGCGGCCTTGTTGACGGATTGGGACCCCCGACGATGCTGAAAAAATCCGCCAACACCCGCCTGCCTGGCGTGAGAAGGCGTGAGAGATGACTGGCTGTCTCCCAACGCGTTTGAAGGGGCCCCAGGACACACAAATAAATACACACAAATAAAAAGATTCCCAATATTTTCCTATATTTTCTGGGGGACTCGACGATTAATTGTGGCTGTGTGTTTCTTTCCCTCCTGAGCGTTTCCCTCTCCCCCAGGGGTCGAACATCGCGTGCAAGGGGGGGCATCCGGGCTCCCCGGCGCACACCCGGAGACCCCAGAACTTCCAAAATCTGCCTTCTGCTGGCTTCGGAGACGTTCCGAGACGGCCCCGAATCGCCGACCGATCAGCCCAAGACGCCTCCTATGGCTCCAAGATGCCCCCAGACGAAAGGCCCAAGAGTTCTCCCGATGTGGCCCCGAGATGCAGAAATCAATCGCTTTCCTCTTTTAAAATGTTTCTGGGGCAATCGTCTTCTCGAGCTTCCGACGCTCCAAGGCGGCCCAAGATGCCCCGCAGACCGCCCAGAACTGCCCAATCAGCCCCCCACCCCCCCCACCCCCCCCACGAGGGCCGCAGGACGGCCAAAGAGGGCTGCCAGGGGGCCCAAAGAGGGGCCCAAGACGGCCAAAGATCCGTTCCGAATCGGCCCCTTGGCCTCTCCCTGCGTCCAAACGCACTAGTGTTCCGAGCTGCGTCCAGCCGTGGCTACGGGGGGGCCCCCAGAGGGCCAAAAGGGCAACCCTTGCCTCATCGCGCCGTCCTCCGAGCGGCAGCAGATGAGGGTG